ACATCTCGTAAGGAGATTGGCGGCGATTTGGGGCCGTTCTCAAACGACATGCTTCGCTGGCTAGGCGACCGGGTTGGCAACGTCTGTGAATGTTTGAGAGTCGTGAAGCCATTTTGTGCCATGCCCAAGCCCGTCTTGTCCGACGCTGAACGGACCATCTGCCTACGAGGATCGTCGTCGGAGTGGTCGGATTCGAACTTGTTGTTGAGCTGGTCGGTGTAGGACTGTCCGAGGTAGCTGATGGGTCGGCCATCGCTGTCGTACTCCTCGTCGCCGTAGAGGGTTCCAATGGTCTCGGTCACATGGTGGCTGGGGTCTGAAATTGACAGCTGGCTCGCATGACCGCGTCGACTCGCAAAGCTGCCACCAACATCGGCGCGGGGTCTAGATGAGGTCTGCGGATAGCACGGAGAGTTAGTCAAAGGTGCTATTCAGGGAAAGGAGGCTCAGGAAGTAAAATTCGAGGCCTGAAATGGAGGCAAAGAAAAGCAGCGCGGCATGCTAAACAAGGACGACTCGCAAGGCTCTCGAAACGTTGGGTGCCAAGGATGGGTGCAGTGGCGAGTTATGGGCAGTTCTACGCACCATCATCTAGGAAAGGAATGGCCTTGAGGAAGGCCGAAAAGCCAATTATTCCCTAGAATACACCACTCGTCTGCCAAATGTCTCGTTCGAAAAAAATGCGTCGTTGAGCTCTCATCTGTCGAGGGTGTAGTGCAGCATAGGCGCGGCGTGTGAGCGACGGGAGTGTCGAAGGCGGGAGTTGGATCAAGGTTGGGATCGGGATACGGATACAGGTATGGATTCTTCGGTCGGCGCGTCGTTCAAGATCGCATGGGGACGGGAGGGAAGTGTATTGGAGCGGTACCCGGGATGTACAACGATAAGAGTTGAAAAGACTGGAGAAGTCCACCGTTGCAAACGAGTGATAGAGAAAAAGCAAGCGGCAAATTATGCTGTTGAGAGCACGGAACAGGCGAGGATGGGTCGGTTCAAGACTGGTCCAGGTGGGCAGTTGGCCGGCGTGTCTTGTGCTAACGTTGTGTTGTGTCGTCGGGTAGTGGTAAGGTAGAGAGAGAGAGAGAGAGAGAGATGATGGTGGAGGTGGTGGTGGTAGGCGAAGTAGTGGTGGAGGAGCAAGGTAGGAAAGGTTGAATGACGGGACGTTGCTAGTTGTTGGAAGTTGTAGCGCTCGGTAAGGCGAATGGTGTCAAACAATCTAATGGTTCGTTCACCTCACCGTCCAGTCTTGTGTCGAGAACTGGAGTTTTTGAAGGTATTTGGGATTGGTGCCAGTGCAGACAACCTTGGAAGAGACAGGCAGACGGGACTGCAGCCAGTCAAGTCAGAAATCAACCCCCTACTGCAGGTCGGGGGAGCGGGCAGAAGACAGAGCGCGAGCGAACGTGAGGGTGACTGGCAGAAAGGGCGATGAACAGGCGCTACCTTCTCCAGTACAGCACCAAAGTCGAGGTCACGTCGTGGAGATCAGATAGGTAGTGTACTTGAGGGACCACGGAAGTAGACGGGTACAAGTCTATTTGCAGAGACGATCCCTGAGAGTGTGCCATTATGGGTGTCGGAAGCGAGCGAAATGCTGGGACTGATGAAGTGGAGGTCTGAGGGGAACAAGTACCGAGTACTTGGCTCGACCCCCAATCGGCTGGTGTCATTTGTAGCCTGGAGAGAAGGGCGGCACCAGGACTGCATTAGCGCCAGCCAGAACTGGGCTAGGCGTTGCTTTGGAAAAAGCGGCCAGTCAAAGTAAAGTGAGGAAAGTGCGGTGGTCTGGCACAAAAGGCCACCTCCCTGTCACGTGCCCTGCCAAAAGCCAACGGGGTGCCTGCAATGAACTGCCAACAATAAGGTACCTTAGGTGCGGACTGCCCAGTTGGCGTACTCATAATATCTCAGGTACCTTACCTCATGTAAGATCATAACGTCCAAGGAGATGTATACGGATACAAACACTTAGGTAATTCGGTCTGGAAGGCTTTGTGGAATATCCGGGACTGAATTCTTTATCCTTCAACTGGGCAGTCAACACCAAGTGGCCCAGGGTCGCGCAAGCAAAGCATCGAATAACCAAAAGATTACCTAATGCACGTAAGGGCATCCTCTTACCTCATGATACATTAGTCTATCGTCCGTTCAGCTGAGTTGGATTGCATTTTGAGTCGTGCATGCGTCCGTACCCGTGCCTGAGCTTACCTAAACCCTACCTAAGGTACCTAGGCTAAGTGAGGTACGTATCGTCCGTTCACTCTTTGCAGAACTGAAGACAGAGGGGAAGGAGCTGCGAACTGACTGGCTGCCGTTTTGGCATCAAGTTGGGGCAGACACGGCAGGCGGCAGGCGGCAGGATGGATAACTGCATGGGCAGGCACAGCGGGGGGCGCAGAAGAAGGGCGGGGAGGAAGGACAAACAAACCCCGAAAAAAAACGAACAAGAAGAAAAAAAAGATAGCGGGCGACTGGCTACACAAGTCTGCAACCTCAACGTTTAGAACGATCAATATTCTCAATCATCGGCGGAACAATACGTAATACCCAAGCAACATGCACAAACCATCAATGACATCGAAGCCTGCAAGGGCCCTCATCGCTGCTACTCCAAGGTACGGATACTCTATACGAATACTCTCGCATCATAGGTCCAAGCCAAGACCCCGACATTTGATGCTGGATCATGACCCGAGTCCGACACAACTGGCTCCGGCCGACTCTCCCCAAAGAGCGCATGCTAACCACGAGCTCCGGATATTGGCAGTGGATGAGACATGGATGGGCCATGGCCGCACTGCGTACGAAGTATACGCAGTACTTCGTACACAATCACTCCGTCATCTCAATTCGCCAAACGACGAAAGGAAATTCGGTCTTTCAGATTACTCGCAATGAAACAAGGAAACCACAATACCGGTTCAGGGCCCTCTCGCTTCTCATCTCTAACTCGAGCTGAATCTGTCACGCTCAAAGCGCGTTTCCCGTCCCCGTCACTGCCACAACCAGATCCGAGCATAGCAGGGACAACCCACCTGGCCCAAGGTCCAAGGGACGACCCATACGCACGCGGCCCTAACATCGTACTTCTATTCACGCCTGCGACACGACACTATCCCTTCAACTTCCTACAAGTGCTCTGTGTTGTGCCACGCAGCTCCGCGAACACGACAGGTTGGCTCTTTAAAGGCACTGCGCCCTCCCGCCAATCCTCGCACCCTCGATGGCTGCCCTCAGCTCATGTACTACCTGACTTTTGACGTCGAAACAGCATCGGTCCTTGCTGCTGGCTGCTGCCGAACATCGACACTAGCACGACCCCGTTTGCCTAGAGTTACAGGGCGATCCCAGAACCCCAACCTGGCCGAAGACAAAGTCCCCAGAATAGCTCACCACTTTATGCCAGGGAACATCGGATCTCAGGACAAGGTTCGGGCGCCTCTTCACTGTTCAGTCACTCAGTCACCAGTGTGCTTTTCTTTTTGTCCGAGGCATGCCTTTATGTTACCTTCTCCACGGCCTCCGAGTCTGTGCCAACGAATACTTCCGCGCTCCAAAGTCGAGGGTTCCCTGAGCAATGCGTGGAATGCAACCCATGCACCATGGCCGACTTCCATTTCCTTCTCGAAGGACTGGATACGGGAGAGACACTGGAGTCTGGAGACCGAGGGCTGGTCAGATGCAGGGCCAGTGGACCGGTCCCCATCGTCACCGCCTCGGGCCCCTATTCACCACCGGCGGCCCCGGCCATCGACGCCGTCTCATCGGGGTCATCTCCCACTTTCGCCCCTGGAGCAAGTTGAGCCCCCTTTGTGCCTAGGGATATTTCTGATTTCAAGGCCCAACCAGCCTCTTGGATCCACTAATACGCCAAAGTGACCTGAATCGGCAATCTCGTTTCCAACGCCCGCGGCCCAACGTCCTTTTTTTTTTTTTTTTTTTTTTTTTTTTTTTTTTTTTGCCGTTTGCGACTTGCCAAGCACCAAGTTCCCATACGTCAAGAGATCAAGACGTCGAGAACCTTCGCCCCTGTCCACAGGCACAGTCCAACCACCATCGTAATCACGGGGCCACGGCGGTCCATTGCGAAGCGCCCCAGCCGAGTCGCAAAAAAACCGTCGCACGGGGACGACCAACCAGAGGCCGCCCAACTGCGATCGCAGCGTAGCATGTCATCCCATCTGCCGCTTCCTAACAAGGGTGTCGCTGTCCACTGGCATCCAGCGAAGAAGACCCGGCAGCCGGTCATAGGGTAGTCGCTGAACAGTGGAAATGTTAGCCAGAGATAGCGCTAATGAGGTGTATGGTAGCAGCCCTCAACTGGTTGTGCATATGGCTTCGTCGATTTGCGATCGCATCAGCTCGCTGGGCGCATTGTGAGAAATCTCGAAATCAGCATTCTGACTCACGATTACACGGCTTGAGCTCGTTCATGTAATTGCCATCTTCGGTAGCAAGTGCTGGCGATCAAGCGATCGACAATGAAGCATTGGAGTATGCAGCTGAGCCAACTACACATATCTCGCACCTGTGTGAAGCTGCGCTGCGGGCTGCAGCGATATGCCGTCTGTCGTCTGTCAGAGGGACGTCTGGGCCCCCAAACATCAGAGTAACACCAATGGAACACGATATCCATCTCCCAGGTGCCAGTCGGACGTGTGGCTCGTTGTCCGCATCCTCACCCTTACAGTTGCAACAGACAGGGTCCGCGTCCTTCCTTGCAGGCTGGTCGAGAAGTTGAGCCAAAGAGCTTGCACGAGCTATTGAAACTGTGGCGGAATGGGTAGATTTGCAGCAGAAAGTGTGGACTAGACCATCTCGAGCTTTGTCTTACATTGGTCATCCAGCACGATCGACAGTCGAGTTTCCCCGCGCCGCCACACCATCTCCAACGCACGGGAGACCTTGGTGTGCATGATCAGGCTGACGTTCAACTGCAAGGTGTGTGTGTACCAGCCTTCACCAACCCTCGTCATCGCATCACACATCTCAAACCGATGCAGCATATCTGCATGGACGTCGCACCTACTGAAGATAATGCCATGACTACGGATCCCAGTCAAATGGCTTTCCGAGCCGTTACGCACTGGCTCCAGAGCCAGACTCTGCCGGTATTCTGCTGCACTACACCGGGATTCCGGCCGCGGATGCCAACAGACATCGAAGCTGACAGTGTGCCTTTATCACAGTCTCATCTGACCAAGGCGCTGAGCCAGCAAGAGCAGCATCATCAAAGCCAGTCGCCTCAGATCAGCGACGCGGAAACCAGCGAAAGTGTCGCGCGGCGAGCATCATCTGCCCTGTGGACGAAGCCACTGCCACAGCTCCCGCCGCCCAACATGTCCTTGTCGGGCAAAGTCGCCATCGTCACCGGCGGCGCGCGAGGCATCGGCGCCGCCATCGCGTTGAAGCTCGCACGAGAAGGGGCCAGGGTGCGTCTCTACCGACCTCAATCTTGTTGAAATGAGAATTTCGGCTAAAGCTAGATTTTCGTGATTCGCGTGATTAAAGGTCGCCTTCACCTTTGTAAACACTTCATCAATAGCCAAGGCCCATGAGGTCATATCCGAGATCGAGGCCTGCGGGTCCTCGGCGACCGCCATCCAAGCCGACGTCTCCAAGCATCAGAAGAAGGTCATCGAGCGGACAATGATGGCGTTTGGCGTCACCAAGATTGATATCCTCGTTAACAACGCCGCCGCGACGCTCAGCGCGACCCTCGATGACACCACCACCGAGGACTACGACCGCATCTTCGACACCAACACGCGCGCCGTGTTCTTTATGATGCAAGCCGTCAAGCCGCACATTGCGCCGGGCGGCCGCATCATAAACATCTCATCCGTCGCCGCGCGCGCCGATTCGCCGGGCAGCATGGCCTACGCGGGGAGCAAGGCGGCCGTAGAGGCGTTTACGCGCGTCGCGGCGCGGGAGATGGGGCAAGCGCATGGCGTGACTGTGAATTGTATCAGCCCGGGGACGGTCAAGACGGAGATGTTTGACTCGCTGCCCGATGACCAGCGCAGCGCCGACTTGGAGAGGGCCTCGCTTACGCCCGCCGAGGCGAGACTGGGCGCCGTTGAGGACATTGCCGACGTTGTTGCGTTTGTGGCGAGCGACGAGTCGAGGTGGATTACGGGGACGGTGATTCCCGTCAACGGAGGCCGTTTGATGAACTGAAGCGGCGATGAGTGAGTTCCTCCGAACTCACGGCTGATGGAAGTATGCGACTGAGTGGCCGACGGAGAGTATCATGAGGGATGCGAAAAGTTATTTATATGCTGGCCGGCCTATGGGACACAAATGGGAAAGAGGAGGGTCGGTTTTGACAAGGCTGTATAACAAGTCAAGTGTACGATGGGAGTCTGGGTCTGAGAGATCGGGATGAATTTTCTTGTATTCGTTCCTTGGCTTTTTTTTTTCTCTTCTGGTCTTCCTTGGGTAACAATACGGGTGTCTCTGGGTCTTCCGGGTTTGGGTTTCTATCTGGTGGGAGTGTCGGTCATGCAGTGCTACATGAAGCTGTACTTTTGGTTTTTCTTGGGATTGCCTGTCAGCTTGTTTGGGAGCTGAATTTCTTCTTCCTCTTCATGTATGGTAACGACTTTTGAAATTTCTCGAGTACACGGCCGGAAACAGTCTGGAATACCACTAATGAATTTGCTTTTATGTATCGGTCTTGCGGAAGCTGTGAGCTGGTGTGATGTGATGTGAGACTGAGGCAGATGTTGGTGATCGGGCCAGCGGCCTTCGTATATAAAGACGGAGCCAGCTCTCGCTATGGTATGTTCGTCATGTCTATGGTCTTGGCTCCTTTCTGGGTAGGAACAGAAGAGATTGGGTGGCCTCACTTCCACTGAGGAGAACTGGGAGCTGAGGTAGGAGGATTGGAGAATGTGGATACGAGAGGAAAGGCTGGGCAGACGCTCGTGTGATCAAGCCAAGCGTGTCTCACCCACTCTGTTGTCTTGTAGGGTCCCTGTAAATTCATCCGCGCGGAACGAATAAGAATATGGCGTCGATGAGGGTTAAAGAGAGATGTCTGGAGATGTTTTGAGGCGTAAGGTAAGTCAGGTGCTTGTTTGGGCTTGGGCTCAAGCACTTTCTGCAACAGGATGCCGATATGTCCAGCCTTCTAGATGTGCCTCGCAGTGGTTCTTACCAGCTGGAATGATCGCTGGCGTAAGCTGTGCCTTTTATATTGCCTCTCACATGGCCTCCTTCCTCATTTGACACTTCGAGGTCTCCGGAACCACGTACTGAATCTATTGAGTCGTTGGATTCGGTCAGACAAAATGGCATAAAAGCCCTCTTTACTTTCTCGCTTGCCGGCCTCGGGACATGAAGTGTTTATTGCTGTCGATTACGGGAACCAGATGCATGATAGCATGTCCATTTCGGAATCAGTTAGAGCTGGTCAGCAGCTAGCCAATACCGATCGCGTGCTTGTCGACACTTCTTCTACCGTTCAAAGATAGTACCAGTGTAAAAGTAGAAAGGAGACTCACCCACAGCAAACCCCCAGTCCGGCATGGAATAATAGACCAGCATACTGTAAATCGGCTTCTCATTTTACAGAACCGGCCATATCTCCACATAGCTCGTTGCCACATCCCGAAATCAAAACCTGAAATGTTATTCTCCCATCGCTCACGCCATGGCGAGAGGGGCATGACTCCTGCTTCTAGCTACCATCGCTTCGAATAATCAAACATATTGACTAGCCTCTCCTCTCGAGCTCATTATACAGCCATGATGTCCTACATCCCTGTCTTCATGAGCGCGCCGAAGAAGAAAGCTGAAGCGAAAAGTAATCCGTGGAATGACGGCTGGGCTGCTTTCTGACCCCTTCCGTAAGCTCTAGGAGGCCCGCGAACATACCTTTCAGAGATCAAGTAATCGGTGGCAAGGAGGATGCGGAAAAACATTAACTGAGGCGTCTGGGGCCAGGCCTTCTCATGCCATGGTTTCTGGAACATTTCATGGGATCGATGCATGGTCATGAGTATATATATCCTAGAACAAGGTCGAAAATGTGAGTGTTGATCCTGACGCATACGAAGAGACACCGAGAATGCTACACATCATAGATTACAATCTCTGGTCTGCGTCTAACGCAGGCGCTTGGAGAGAAGACGCTGAGTCCATGGCAGCGAAAGGTAGGAGCCACCCAAACGTCAAGAATTATCGGGGCCGCCCTCACGCCCTGTTTGATACCATACGAAGTCGCACATGACATGGCCGTCGCACTGCCTCATTAAAACACAGATCTAATTTGGCATTCTAGTCTCAAACCGCTGCCTCCGTCAACTTCCCTTGGCGGCACCATTGCAGACGGGTTTTGTGCCGTTTGCCCTGGTACTATGAACCAGGACGACGCGGCTGAGAGGTCAACTTGCTGTCGTCCATCACTGCATATAGAAACATCTCGCTTATTGATCACTTTCTGCCAGCAACGTGATATACGTCGGAGAATACGGCGACGATGTGAGTTGCTGTCATATGACGGAGGACTCTGATCATGTTCAAATAGCAATGTCCTAAGGCCCCTCTTAACATGGGGTCCTCGAAGCAAGTGAACTCATACGCATCGGAAATTAGCGAATTGGACGCGAAGGTGTTGGACGTGGTTGAATCTTGCTTTGCATTGCCGGAGGCAGAATATTATATAGTCTGTAGAGAGAAACAAGAGCCGTTAAACTAGTTGAACCTTCTACCGGAAGATACACACCCGGCATTGCGGCACTGCTGCCCTGGCCCTCGCGAGCGTATATTTGTTGACCTCTCTCTAAGCTATCGCTCACAAGCGCGACTAGCTTTGCAAGGCGATCCGTATCTTCGATGAGAAGGCCTTTGCCGCCGCTCATTCCTCTCAACCGTATATGCTTTGGCCGTTCGCTATGGGGGAGAAGACACGTCTGGCATTTGGATAACATTTCTGACCTGGAAGGGCACTCACAAATATCTCTTCCTGAGACGTAGGTAGAGGCTTCATAGGTCGAGCATAGATTCTGCGCTATACACCAGCAGAGCCCAGAAGTTCAAGATGCCAGCTTCGCACAACGGGCGGATGGAACATTTAGGGCTACAAGCTATGTTACGTTTCTACTTTGTTGTAGGAAGGCCCAAATTGAGAAAAGATCTCAAAGAAATCATCCAAGGTATCATACCTATATGCTAGCCTATCCAAACGTTAAGTGCCTCAATGTGGTTCTCTGGCCTCGCGAGGGTATTGGACGGAGACAGCCGGCCGCCAACACATTGCCATCGACTGCATGGCCACGAACCTACCAGTAGGTCAACATAACCGCTGGGAAGTAATAACAAAGAGGAGTCCTCTTTTGACCCATCAACTCCCGTGAGCTTCTTGGTTTCTTGTGCCCGTGTTCGTGCAGAGATACGTACGCATAGACAACTGGTGTTCACCTACGAAAGTCTACTTTCAGACACACCGCCGTTGTATGTGGCGCATGTTCAGTATTATGAACGGGAGGAAGAGAGTGCTTTGGGAGGATTGGGTGAGTTTGAGTGACAATGGACCAGTAGACAACATCCTTGAGAGACAATGAACAGTCTTGACTAAATGAAATCGGGGCGGCATACTTCAGGCACTTGAGCATAGGGACAAGAGACATTCGACCAGACAAATGCGATGATATTACGTTTGATTAGAGACTAAGTTCCTAGTTATATGTGTAGGGCGGAGTTGGGTATCATAATTGTAATTGTATTTCACTGAGTGGGTGATGAGACGTGCGAAATCGCGCCAACTCCGAGCAGATGCAAGCGGGAGGAAAACAAAGCGCCTAGAGTCTAGCCCTCTTCTAAGCGGACGTCGTTGATCGTCGCCAGATCATGAAAGCCGCAACTCCAGCGCAGGCCGTCGCGCCCAGGGCGAGATAGAGGCTTGTACGGTCTGGGGGCTCCTCTTCGCTCCGAGGGAAAGCGGTGCTGGGATTCGTCGCCGCCTCGGCAAGGGCAATGAACAGCTCGCTGATACTGGACCACTTTACTGTGACGTGAAGGGGCGTGCTCATCATGAGGCTTGACGTGTACGTGTCTGGCTGCGTCTCGCTGCGCTGCGTTGTCTTGTCCTTGTCCGCCTTCAGAGCTGTGTAGATGTTGGGAAGGTCGTCCAGTTGCGGGTAGCGCTTGCGCAGGTCGACGATGTGAGAGAAGGAGTCAGGATCCGAGGAATCGTACGTATAGCAAATAAGGTCGCAAGCGTCGAGCTTAGCCTGATTCTCCAAGATGGCGGGCTCGAGCTCACCCAGCTCTTCCATAATCATGTAGCACTGCTTGCCGCCAGGAAGCTCTACGCTGTTGACGGCTCGGCGCGGCTTGATCGTCGGTCGGTGGAGAGTGTCGAACGGCCTATTCAGGAAGGCGTCCAGCAATGAAGATTTGCCAGCCCCTGAAGCACCCAAGACGTAACATAGCACGACATTGCGTTCTACCTTGCCTGGGCGTCTCCTGCGCTTGCGCGACTTGGTCACCTTCAGAGCAGCTGTCGTGGTTTCCCTGGCGGTTGCAGGTTCGAAGCCAAGGTACGCCAGATACTCGAGCGTGGTCTTGGGCTCCATAAAGGTGGTCATGCTCCATTGAGCGAGCCATCCTTGCAGTGTGACGTGCCCGGCCTCGTTGCGTACGGTCGACGATGGGAAGGATGTTTCGATCCAGGAGGCAGGAAGTCCTGGCGTCGGCGCGAAGAGGGCCTCTAGCTCTTTGTCGTTGAGACCTCCATCGTTGTCCTTGTCGAATAGCAAGAACAAATCGACGAAGAAGCGATAGCCAGCCGGGCTCAGTTCTGCTGATGAATACTCGGGTACATCAAACTTGGGTCGCAAGAAGCTGTCTTCCAAGCTCAAGCTGTCTGTGTAGCGGAACTTGCGCAGTATGATCCATATCGTCTCGTGCCGACCCTTCTCCGCGTAGAGTTTGTTGAGTTGCAAGAACCCGCTCTGGTCGATACCCTTCTCGGTCGATAAGTGCGGGACAGACTTGCCGATCGACAACTTAATGTTCTCGAGATCTTCGGGAGTTAGGGGCTTGTCGAAGCACTTGGACTGGAAGTTGTGCATCTCTTGATCATTGAGCCACCCGTCTTGGTCCTTATCGCACAGGTAGAAAATGCGTTTGAGGGCGTCGACACAAGCCGGCTTCAAATTCCCCTCCTTGTAATCGAACAGCGGGGCGATGGGGTGGGTGACGGCCTTTTGGCATAGGAAGAAAACTTCGTTGACGTTGCGGTGCTCCCTCGCGCTCGAGCGGATGCACGAATCGATCTCGCGGAACTCGGACATGACAGGAAGCATCTCGCCTTCGACCACCTGCGGCGTGTTTCCTTCGCCCGTCAGGTCGGATTTATTCGCACAGAGCACGACTGGAACATTGACACCGAGGGAGCGGAAGTAAGGCATCCAGAACAGGGCGACGCGCTCATAGCTGTAGTGGTCTGAGTAGACGAGGAGGATGACGTTGCATTTTCGTATCTCTTTCCTGAGGGTTGTTCGGTCCTGAGGGCGGGCAGAGGTGTCGACAATAGTGGTCGTTACGTTCTCGGGGGTGCCCAGCTGTGGAGGGATCGTGATGGAGGGGAGGACGGATTGGATCTTATTGGAGATGAAGACATCCTTGACGAGCGACGCAATGAGGCTGGACTTGCCGGTGCCCTCATCACCGCAAACGCAGATGCGCACTATGGAGTAGCAAACGTGGTCAGTAGGAAGTTTGACAGAGAGCACAGCGGTGGAATGGAGCTCAGCTCCTCCTCGTCAGGCCACCTACCAGAAGCCATGGTTACGGTATTTGCAGCTCGAACAAATGCTTCTATTGCGGATCCATGGCAGGGTCTATGGTGAATGATTGCTACAAGGAGGTCGATTTGATGAAGCGGATCGCCGTTTGAGGTGGGAACTGTTGGCTGAAGATGGCTGCTTTTTCTTGATGGAATTGGCCCAACGGGCTTGTAGAAGCTTTGGAGCGGGTAGGACGGGAGCTGCAGGTCGACGGGGATGACGACCTGATTTACAAGGATGGGTCCAGTGGGGTAAGTGGGAAGGCACTGATAGCACAGCGGCCAGCGCGTCTGGCGATGCAAGTTGCGGTCACCAGGGAGGTCGCACACGCTGAAGCATTTTGATGGATTACGTAAGTTTTCCTGGAATAAGACACAATATCAGCTTCTCTTCGTACACTCTCGTGAAGAATAAGAAGGGAGAACCTAAATCTTGGTGGTCGCGGGCCCCGTACGAGACTCGCAGAGCTCTCACGCCTCTCCTTCTGCATTTAGCAGCCATGGTAGAAACATGTGCTGGTACTTACAGAGCTGGGTCATTCTCTTTATTTCTTGCTTCAGGTACCTAGGTTCCATACCCAAGAAAACAATGTGCTTCAAGACAGGTAGTCCCGGATAGATGCCTCCGTGTGCCCTAGACCGAGACATGTCTTTACGTAAGTTTTGGACCCCATTCAACGAACTCGTATGGATTGGTTTAGCAGTGACATCTCAAACCTTGACCACAATGGTTCGTGATGTATCAGGACAACCCATTCTTGCCAGATGAATTTTGAGTATATATCAACTTGATCTGTAATTAACTAAACTTCATCTGAGCACATTCGGTCTACGAACTGGTCTTGAGAATTACAAAATACCTACAGCACCCCTGCCTCGTTCTTCAACCTTCTTACCCCACACTTTGCCTAACATGCCGTTGTTGCTGTTTCCTCCAGAATGAACCCATAGTCAGGGACAATGGACTCTTGTGATGCTGGCCGGGTTATTGGGGAATAGGTACACTATATCCGAACTGTAGTATTCCTCCCCACAGTCTGTCAGTCGGGGATCCTCCACTCTCCCCTCCACCCCTCCCATCTTGCATCCCCATCCCACCACTCACGTCGCAGCAATCCTTCTCCGCGTCTGACCCGGGGGCCCTCGTTCCCCTGGAATAAGCCATGCCCCAATACCCCCAACCTGCAGTATCGCTCTCCCCTGCCACGCTTGCTGACCTGCCACGCCTCCCCATGAAGACAGAGCCCTGGTGTTGGGAAAATGGGGATAATTGGCACATCCGCCGGGGGGTAAGGTAAGGAATCATGTGCGAGAAAAGGGCGGGGAACCCGAATTGGAAACGAGCAGGAGCAGCCTTGGGGGTTCTTGACTGATTGTGGAGGGTTGTGGTTGGCGCGCACCTTTACACTCCTTTGGCCTGGGACGAACCAACCCCGGATGGGAACCGAACCCGCCTATTCGTGCCTACACCTACCTTACACCTTCAACCTCTCTCTTTCTTACCTACTCACCTCGCTCTATTAATAAGGTGCTACACCACCACCACATCCCTCCTCCGCGCCGCACATGAACTCCTCTTGAGTTCATCTGGTCATTCGCGGCGACACATCTCCGCTGTCTTCTCCCCCTCCACACCTACCCGTCGCGCCTGACTTCCACCGTCCGATCGTCGAACCCTCACCGAAAAGCCGTCCGTCTCTCTCTGTCACTGCCGTTATACGTGCGACCTTCCCAAAACGTCGACCTTGTCAGCCTCGGCCGTCGCCCGTCACCCGTCATCCGATTACCCGTTATCAACAAGGCCCAGGAACCTCCACTCGCGGGGCCGCCAGTGACGTGAGGCGGAGCCGATCAGAACGCACCCAGACCACCGTCCCGAGCGCCCGACGATAACCACCTCCAACCACCTCACCTTCCGACGTCGCGGTTCAACCCTCGCGTGCCTTTGATCGATATTTGCCCACGTAGCAATTGAACACCGCAATAGATCTGGATCATACATAATACTAGCCCATCATGTTGTGAGTTTACCCGACCTCGGCTGGTCCTTGCCCGCGGACAAATACAGCCAGCACCTATCCAAACCCAGCCGTCCAACCTGCGTCATACCAAACATCACGCAGGCACGAGACAGCCTTTTCCAGCCTCGTTCCAGCCGCACACCCCAGAAAACTTTGCCCACAATGTTGGTATCTTCAAAGACAGAGCAGCAGCTGACAATTGCACTCCGTGCGACACCAAAAGCGTCCTTCCCCCTCCCCCGCGATACCCCTCGCACTCGGGCGCCTACGGCGCAATCGGCGCCGGCATCGCCCCCATGATCGAGACGAACAACATTCTCTCCAACCCCGAAGGCCCTGAATACCAGTTCCTCGTCGGTGAGGGTACCTACGTCCTCAAAGAGTGCCTCCATCTCGCCACCCCTCCACCGCATCCCTCTGAGGCCCCCGTCGTCAACCCGAACCCGCTCGCCACGACGCCCCAGCCCGCCTCCGCTGGCACCAAGCTCTCCCTCATATCTCTCGACGTCCGCGCCGCGCCCCCCTTCTTCTACAACAAGGGCGCCAGCACATCCACCACGCTCTCCTCCTCCCTCGGCGGCGACATCCAGGAGCACCCTAACGAAGGGCGGTATTCTACCGAGGCAGGGCTCAGCAGCGATGGAGGGGACGGCCGCGGTGCCTCCCTCAGCGACGGCGTCGCGCCCCCGACGTCGTCATTGACCATGGTGTCGGCTCCGGCATTCGGGGACGGAAACTCGGCGCTCGCGCCGGCCAATACCAAGGACGCGGCCAAGAAGAAGGTGGCCAAACCCAAGAACAACATGACCAAGAGCAACTCGTCCTTCATTTCTAGAGTCATTGTGAACGAGAGCTTGGCCAAGAAGCTTCAGGAGCGGCCTACGGACGGCGTTTTTGCGTTTGCCAATATCAATCGAGCGTTTCAGTGGCTGGATCTGTCATCACCAACAAAGGTTGGGCTTCCCACGTATCGACGTTGCTGCGGACCAATTTACTGACGAGGTTGAAGGCCGACTACTTGACCAAGATTCTGTTTACAAAGGCTCATTGTCTGTGTCACGACGTGAACCCCATCACCAAGAACATTGCTCATATTGATGTAATCATGGGCTTCTCAACGGGAGAAATCATCTGGTGGGAGCCTGTTTCTCAACGGTATACTCGGTTGAACAAGAATGTAAGTCTTTGAAATCACACTTTGAAGCGTGTGAAACCAGGTAGACTGACCGTGCCCCAGGGCATCATCAACGGCACACCGGTATCAGAGATCCGTTGGATACCAGGCTCCGAGTCCCTCTTCCTAGCAGCGCACATGGACGGCTCGCTGGTGGTCTACGACAAGGACAAGGAGGACGCGCAGTTCTCCCCAGAGGAGGAGCAGCTTGCGACCAACGGCTCATCAACAAACGGAGAGAGCGATTCGTCGACCAACGGCGTCAACCACAACCTCAAGATCCAGATCAACAAGTCTGTCCACTCAAAGAACCAAAAGACGAACCCCGTGGCATCATGGAAGCTGTCGAATCAGCGCATCAACGCGTTTGCTTTCAGCCCTGACAATCGGCACCTGGCAGTCGTCTCGGAGGACGGCTCGCTCCGCATTATTGATTACTTGAAAGAAGAGTATGTTTGAGAGCTCTGCCGATGCTCTGGCGTGACTTGCCCTAACTGACACGACACAGGTTGCTGGATCTCTACAACTCGTACTACGGCGGCTTCATCTGCATCACATGGTCACCGGACGGTAAATACGTTCTGACGGGAGGCCAAGATGACCTCATCTCCATCTGGTCCGTCGTAGACTCGGCCATTGTCGCCCGCTGTCAAGGTCACCAGTCGTGGGTGACATCAGTGGCATTCGACCCGTGGCGTTGCGACGACAGGAACTATCGGTTCGGCAGTGTCGGCGAAGACTGCAGGTTATGCCTGTGGGATTTCAACGTCGGCATGCTGCACCGGCCCAAGGCGGTACGTCGTTTTGTTCCGGCTCCCCAATTTCCCCGCGTCGAATCGGGAACCTCGGAGAGGGGGCGTGAGACCAAAAAAAAGCTGACTTGTCGATACAGGCTTCCGTTCATCACCGAGGCTCCGTATCATCACGGTTCGCCAATCCCTTGCAGAGACAGGAGACGGCCAACACGTCGGCGAGCCGCATCCGGTCCAACTCGACTCTGTCTGGAGGGGCAGTGGACGAAGACGGCAGCAGCATCGTTCATCCTGTCGAGCCTCGTGCGAGGATCGCCATGCTACCTCCTGTTTCTGTATGTTGCCTCGGTTCCTCTCTTCCACATGAAATTCTACATCTTGTCAACGTTTTTTCCTTCTCGAGGATGCTAACAATTTCGCCAAATAGTCCAAGGCAGTTGATACCCATCCCCTGTGCTGGCTGGAATTCACAGAAGAAGCCATCATCACAAGTTGCAAGAACGGTAAGCCATTGGACCTCGCACCGAGGTGTTACAAGCCTCAACGGACACATGCTGACATGTCAAACCCCCAAAAGGCCATATCAGAACATGGAATAGGCCGACTGATGCCCCGGTGCCGACGGAGGGTGCCTCTCAACCATCTTAGCCGCATACTCGTCTTTTGGTGGAATGATAATGAGTTGGCTACCCTTTTGTTTTTCGTTTCGTTGCAGATATTGGAGGAGTCGAGGTGTAGAAATCATGTCAGCCGATGCATCACCCCTCTACGCGGGGGCTTTGTCCATAATTCTTTTCCAAAAGTGCCTTTTCGCTCAATTTCAATCAAACTATCCATGTCCAGCTGCAGGATTATGTGTCAAAAGATGTCATCTTTTCAACTCTCTTTTTGGTTTTTGCCTCAATGCTCTGTCGATGTGCGTTTCCATCATGAGGGTTTCGAGATGATCATGACGTGACGCGATCTGCATGTGATTTGAGAATCCCCAAAGATGCCCAGGAGTTCCCACTGTGAAAAGGATGCGCCACTCTCGAGACACAAAGCTGCATTGGC